ATATGATTTTTAACAGCATCCCAAATAGCCTCCCCAGGACATTAAGATCGTTATTTTGGCTGTCTATCGCCTACCTGCTGTAATTCCACATTAGATTCTATGCGAAGTAAATGTGTTCGTGATCGGCATGCCAAACATTCCTTGGGGCGAATTCAACTACAAACAAATTTCTGATCTTTTGATGTGGAAAATTGCGTCGGAAAATTCCATCATATACGGCAGATATAATTGTGCTTCAAAGCACATCTCGCGGTTTATATTTTGTTATGGATGTCGTATGACTGAAAATCTTTATTAGCGTGATTTCCTCTATTGTAGAACAAGCGTCAACCATCTGCTAAAATTGAACTTCAACATCGGGTGAAAGACGAGAGTACTGAAGACGATAAGGAAAATGTTCATCGTCACTCTAGCAGAAGGTTTGATCTAGTGTGATAATTACATATTTTCTACTTAAACTGCTATTTTGTGTTTCAAGCAACCTACTAGATTTTCCTCATCGTTATGTAGTTTTTCCTTTCTCTTAGGATGGATGTCATGGATCTGATCAAACTCGCTTCAGCTGAGGATTTGGAGCGAAAGAAGTCGGCTGTCGAAGAGAATAATTGCTTGTTAGACTGTGGAGATAGGTCCGCAACAGACACGCTTGCTGTCATTGATGTTCAAACCTCTGATGACGTTTTTCCAGCGTTAGTTAAACCTTTATTGATTTGACGAAATTTAGTATCGCTATTTTAGTAATGTGCGTTACAGAACAAGCACCTTGACTCCGGAGCAAGGAGGCGCATGTGCGCACAGTCAACAACACGGTAAGAATTCATCGTTTTTTTTTCTTGGATACATATTGCTGTAAAATGTAAGAATTTCACAAATAAGCAGATAGAGATTGTGTATGCATTTGGGAAGGTTATGTAGTTTTTTTTTTCCAGTCAAATTTTCAGATGCTCACCATTCGAATGTCTCCTGTGTTCTTCCATCGAAGGGCTGCACCCAATATTCTGGCATGTTTCCTGCTACAAATGTACGAATAAAAACGTAACAACTACAGCAGATAGCAGTTTTATGAACAAAGTACCTCTTAATAACAATAATTTTGCCAGCTGCAGGAAAAAGATATCATTCGGCAAGCCAAATCTGGAACGTCATGATCTGTAGCTAGATATGAATCTTGGATTAGAGCTAATTTGTGAACTTCCTCATACCGCTGAATGTTTTCTTTGGGTGAACCTCCATTATAATCTCAACTTTTCATTTTCCCTTTTTTCGTAGTTGTGTCTCATTTCGTAGAATACTTAGCAATGTTACCTTCTTGCCATTAACTTACTAGGTTCTTGCTTGTATATACGTATTTTTCGAATGGTTCTCTTTTATTGCGTTTGTAGGTGTACGTGTTTGTTTTATTCAGAAATTAAGAAAGAAAACAACAAAAATACTTGCTTATAAAAATCTATATAGTTTGGAATTTGTAGCCTGGTATGGCATCTTCTGCTAAATAACCTCTAATCTTGTTTTAATTGAGATTCCTTGTATCAGATACCTGCATTGCGAAATACTAAGTTCGGCGTTGTATTATTTATATTTATTCTTCCCGATTTCATGTGATTGCCATAATCTGCTGGTCATTAATCATTCCCTAGACTTTTGTATCTCATCTGAGTAATAAAACAGATATAAATTGTTTTTTTTTTTTTGAGCTAAAGTGACCCTAGCTCCCAACA